ACTTGAACGAACCGTCGTCAACTACATGGGAGTCCAGTGACGTAACCGTTATGCCATCTGCTGGTTCCATCTTATGAGAAACCTCTTTAGGTGAAGGTTTTGATGTTTTTCTTGAAGTAGTGTAAGCAGAATTTGGGGGCTAAGATACTTTTCTCTTTTGGAATGAAATGTTTCTCGCTGCATTGTTCTTCAGCTTCATTACCTTTACCCTAAGAACTAAAATCCAAAAGAGGAGGATACGTAGGGCAGCTCTTGGAGAATACAGCAAAAGCAGGGCAGGAGGAGTAAACTCATCGGAATAAAGTGAGGGGAATGAGGAAGTGGTGGTGGACAAGTGAAGTCCAGTCTGCTGTCCGACTTGGTGGACTCTGCCACAAAAGCAGCCAGCCCTGCCCCTGGTTAGGAAGTGGGGAGAGACGTGGCTCCCTCCAGGAGAGGTGCTGAAGAAGTTTATCTGTACGAGTTTCTTTTCACTTAGATGTGATATTAAGACTAGTTACAAGGAAACCGCCCATGTACTTAGGATCCCAAGTACATGGGAGGGTGCATGTGGGTTCCACACAGTATTACAACACTTTCTATAAGGGACTGGAGCAGCTGTGGGTTTTCGTGTCCACAGGGTGCTAGAGCCAATTCCTCACATATTCCAAGGGACGACTGATAGTGATGGGGAAGAATTAGATGCTGATAGCTTCTTAGTGAAGGTGACTCTTTGGAGGTATATGAAGGCACTTCCTAAGTTGTAAAGTGCTGGAAACATGTTGGGATTATTAATAAAAGCAAAGATGAATTGCTATGATTAGTCTTGTGCCTTAAAGTGTTTTTTTTGTTTTGTTTTGTTTTGTTTTAAGTGAAATCAATAGATAGGCTAATATGAAGATGAACGACCTTGTCCAATTCACGGTTTTTCAGCAGACATCTGTTGAGATGCCTGCAACGTGTCAGGTCCTCTGGGAGCTGACAGGAGGGGCTCAGTTGTGTAAGTCACAGTTCCTGAGCAGAAGGCGTTGTCGTGTAGTACTGAGCAGAGAGGCACACAGTGGGTCGTTTCCGCCATGTGTGAGCGAGTACCTGGAATGTTTGTGCAGACTAAGGGAATATAGGGAGGACCCTTATCTCATGACAGGCTTTAACAAAGAACGTCTGAGGACGTCTGAGCTGCATTTTGAAAGAAATCTGAGTAGTTAGGAGAGGAGAGGTAGAAGAATACCTCACACAGGAAACGACGGTAGTGCCGGCTGGTCATACAGATGTAAGGCACGGGTTGGTCAGGAGGCTAAGTGGCAGCACTTGCTGATGGAGGGTTTTGGTGTGTAGGATTCAGTGAGTGAATGGTACTGAAAAGCACGAGAAGAGGAGCGAGCTCGGGGAACAGCGCCTTCTCAACATGCTGCATTCGAAGTGCCCATGACAGACTTGCCTACGTGTGTGCATCTAGCAAGTCTGTGCACGTGTGGGGAAGTTAGGGCTGAAAATTTGGATTTGGAAATGATTCAGATCTGGAAAAATACATGAGCTCACTCAGAGAGGACCATGCGTATAAGAAGAGATGTTGACCAAGACAGTGTTTTTTTTATAAATACCCATTTCTGAGGAATATATAGAAGATGGGGAACCCATGCTCACCATTAAGGAGGGACAGATAGGAATAAAACAAACCAGAATAGTGCAGTACCAGAATTTTCTCCACAGCTAATTACAGCAGAGGATCTAGGAAAAATGGGCCTAGAAAATAATCACTGGAATAAGGAAGGCTGGTTTCCAAGCAGTGCTGGGGTTGTAATCTTTGCCTTTCCCTTTCTCTTATCTCAGTATTTCCCTAGCTCCTTCAGCTTGGCCATACCAATACCTCCTCCCCAACCCCCTGCACTTTTTTATAGCTCTCCCACAGCTGACTTCTTCATGTCCTTTGCAAATTCAGTACAACTAGCACTGAGCTGGCCCTGGGCTAGCACTGAGCTGGCCCTGGGCTGGAGCTGGTGGCCCCATCATAGCTGCTCAGTGTGCTGGGTATACTTTGAGTAGACCTTAATGAAGTTAAGTTTAAGAACATGATTTTGTCGGAACCTGGAGAAATAGGACTCGGTATCAGGGCCAGCCTGGGCTACAGGAGTGAGATAAGAATAGTAGACCAGTTTTGTGCTCTTATTCCATACTCTTCTTACCAGAATGAGTGAGGCCTGGCTATGAATGGAGTGCATGTCACAGCATAATGGATGAGTCAAGATCAAGAACTTAGTTCACATGATTAGCTTTGTAATTCAGCTTCCCATGTAGAACTGGCTTATGTTCTGACCTCAGTGTGGTGCCTGGGCTTTCTGCAACCAACTTCATTTATGTCAAGTCTGTTTTCCTGTTGGGGGCATGGGCCCTTCTTACCTGTCGGGAATTATTTTCTGGAGCCAGGACTCTGAACATTTCTTTTATGGTGCTTTTAATTTCTCAGGAACTTGCCTTTCAGATTATGCCTCTTTGTGTTACAGTGCACATCAGCATCTGATACCAGCATTGCTCCAATTTCCCTGCTATCTAGGAGCTTATGTGCCTCGGTCCTGAGCATCTTCCTTGCTCCCATATCATATTTGCCTCATTTTGTTTCCTTGTTAATCTCACAGTTTGTAAGACTAAAAACTTTTTTTAATTTTACAAGAGAGAGAGAGCGAGAGAGAGACTTCCTCAACAGGGTGAAACTGCAGTCCCTTTTCCTCCGCCCTCTAGGCTATCATGATCTTAGATGTGCATGTCTACTTGGTATGTTTTTAGGTCAACATAGGATCTAAACCCATGGCTAACCCTGTGGCTTCCAGCACAGCAGTTCAGTATGCCATCACCTGCACTACCACAGCTGGGCCAGCCTTTAACTAAACCCTTTCCTTAGTTCAAATGATTAGCTTTGTAATTCAGCTTCCCACGTAGAACTGGTTTATGTTCTGACCTCAGTGTGGTGCCTGGACTTTCTGCAACCAACTTCATTTATGTCAAGTCTGTTTTCCTGTTGGGGGAATGGGCCCTTCTTACCTGTTGGGAGACACTGGCCACTGTACCAGCCTCTGGGTCCACATGAGCTGGCCTCTGTGGCCTTGGTTGGCTTCCAGGACTGGTGTTCCAGTATAGTGCATGGCTTGTTAGCATATTTGTGTCCTCCATGCATTTCTGTTATAATTTCTCCCTGGTAGGACAGTCTCCTGGGAGAAGATACGTACATGGCAAGATATTTGTCTTTTCTCACTTCTCTCCTCCCCTTTCCTTTGCTTCAGTTAGTTTTCTGTACATCCCAAGAATCACTTGGGACTCCTCTCAGGATTTGAAACACCAAGGACTAGGAGAAAAAATCCACTAGTGTGTGTGTGTGTGAGAGAGAGAGGGCGAAACCCCCACACCACCACCACCACCATGGGGATGGTCATGCTACAGTCCCTTCTCCATTTTTCTTTCCTTTTATGATTTTGAGCATGCACACACCTGTACTTGGTGTTGCTTTTCAAGCTGCTGGATCCAGGACTTGAACTGCAAAGCCGGCCAAGTGATCCAGCTGTGTTAACCACCATACCACTAGCTAGCCCAGTTATTATACTTCAAAAGAGAGAAAGAAGGTAACAGCCATTTTGAAAGACAAATAATCTCTTCATTTAATCTTTCTTTTTCTAAAGCTCTAACACCTTCATATTAAATATTTCACTTGCACAGTTAAGAACTGAAGTTGTTCTTGTGAATGTTAGGTATGTTAATAGTCTCACACAGTCCTCCACACCACTCAGATTGCATTACCCTATACAAGCTCTGAACTTATAAGAGGAAGTTTGCTATAGTAGATTAAGATAGTTTTTGTATTGCAACTCATTTCATTAATGAACAAGATTAAGGTAATTTTAGGAAAAATAAGTACTCTTGCCCAATGAGTTTTGCTTCCTCGTCTCAAAACATTAGAACCATATGACCCATTAATTTTCCCTTCCTGCCTTAACTTTCACATATTCAAACTGAGTATAATACTCATTTGCAGGAATTATCTCATTTTAGGTGCCTAATGATGTTTGCTTCTCTGCTTGTTTTAGCAGATTATTGTTCCCTTTTCATTATCTGATTTTAAAGCTTTTATTTACATTGGCTATCAAATCTTTTTTAGAAGCAGGCAGGATATAAACAAACATCTATATGTAATTTAGGTAGTTTTGGTCACTACCTTCAGGACTTTGAAATGTTTCTGTAGTATTTCTTTGATATAGCATGGTGTATGTGTGTGTGTGTGTGTGTGTGTGTGTGTGTGAGTGCGTGTAAAATCTCACAAGTAGAAGAAATCAGAATAATGTGGGGTTTTTTTTCTCCCCAAAAGGAGAAAATATGTTACAGAACCTTGTGGAAGGGGGTATCTTAATTCCAAACAGCCTACTTAATGAAATATTTAGAAGCACTTAGGGCTTTTAAGCAAATGTCTTTTTCTATTTCCCAAGAGAATGTAATTAATCTGGGTGGAAAGTGTTCACTTGTTTTTCATTTTTATTCTCAACCTATGGAAATGGTGGGGATGGGAATATGGGCTGTTTTTATGGCAGCTAATCATTTTACAGACATAGAATAAATGGTTTTAGTGCATTACTCAAGGAACCAATTAAATACTCATGGCTTCTTAAAAAGTATGTTGAAATTATCTATCACTGATGTATAGTGATTAAAATAGAACTTTAAAAATAACTCTTAATAGCCTGCAAATTGATGAAATCCTTCATAGAAGTGACCTAATGAGGGAGTCCATTTTTTTTTTTCCGAGTTAATTGTGGAATGTGTACTGACCCTTTTGCAGTAAAATTAAAAGTTAGTGTTTCAAGGAGTTTCAATGACTGTAAATCGCTCAACTTGTTCAGTTGGATAAGATTTTTAAAGTTAATGCACACTGCTTACATTATATTAGAATTTAAGTTACTCCAACATGGTGAAATAGTTTTACATGAGAGCCTTACAATCTAATGAAGTCTTGTGTGTTCTGTGTGTTTTGGCTGCAGCCCTACCACTTATGTTTTGGATGAAGATGAACCTCGATTTCTTGAAGAAGTTGATTACAGTGCAGAAAGTAATGATGAGTTAGATATTGAGTTGGCTGAAAATGCAGGAGATTATGAACCTTCTTCTGCTCAAGAAGAAGTGCTTTCTGACTCTGAATTACCAAGAACATAGCTACCTTGAGCCCTCTGCCATCTCTTGCTAACTGCATAGAAGAAATGAAATGTCTTGGTTTTTATTACACAGGAAATTTGAGAGAAATGAGTTTAGAGCAAGCTGACTCAAACAGACAAAAAGTAACTTGGACCTGTTTGGTTTCAAGACAATAAATATGTCATTAATTCATTATAAAATTGGCACTTGTTTTATTTTAGATATTCAATGCATTTTATATAGCATTGAATGACCAAATATCGGGTTTACTTAAAAAGAACTGAGTATCACTGCATGAATTTTTATCTCCGTATGGTTACAGGCCACATCAAATGAGTAATTTTGAAGTGTGTCAGAATATAAAATCTAAATTTTAGAGTTGTTGAAAATCTTGAATTGTTGAAAAGTAATATATATGTACATGGGTTTCTATAGATGTGCTTGTGTAAGGGTGGGTAGATATTGAAGATAAGACTGTTCTTTAGAATCATGTTAACTGGTTGTGACTGAAATAATCCAGAGTTTGCCTTGAAACCGTTACGTTCTACATTTACCAAATTAAATAAATGAAAACTATATTAAATGTTGCATTCATTTGGTCATCCTTTTTAGATTATTTGCTGTATAGTACTTTGTGAGGATATTATAAAAATCTAATATCTCAACACACCGATAGAAAGTTAAAGAAAAAAAAGCCCAATTTACTAGTCGTAATGTCTTTTATAGTATGCCAGTACCTATTGCAAAGGAAAATTTGAACAGCTCTTCTCTCCGAAATTGTGTCTCATGGATACATCTCAAATTTTCCATTGTGGTCCGTTTGTTAAGCTAAAAAAAAAAAAAATGGGGTGAGGATACAGTCTGATGTTAAATGTGCATTTGTGTATTGAGCTCATTAGTGTCTTATAGGCTATGCTGTGTTACTAGGCGTACTGAAGTGGATATATTTAGGGCATGCTGGCACTGTATCACGGTCCTAGAGGACTGCAGTGAATTTAAAACATTTCTCGTAGTGATATCTTGCTGAGTTTTAGCTGTTCTGCTGCAGGAATTATTTTGTCTTCAAATATAATAAAACACATCTAGTGAGTGACTTTGGATAAGTGCTTTAAGAACTGTTTTTATTGCAACAAAACAAACCCAAAAAGAAACCTCATTAATAGATTCTTGCCAGCACTCAGATGCTTAGGTTTTAGTACATATCTTCTTGCTTTTTTTCCGACATGAGGATATTTTTAAACTTATTATAGTGGAAAGCAAATTACAAAAGTATAGTTCAGATTTATACAGTTTCCAAATTAATAATTTTTCTTTGTACTGTTTAAGGTATTTCATCAGCCATGTAAGTTCTTTTTAGTATCTTGGGAGCCATGATTGAAAACATAGTATGGGGCAATTGAAAGAAGTCTTTTTCTCTGAATAGCCTAATTCTTATTAAGCTCAGAACATGAAGATGAAATAGATTGTGAAGTTGAACCAGTCTCTTTAGTGTGGTAACCTAATTTCGAAAGATCAAGATACATTAGCAAGGTAGAATATTATTTATTGAATAATTTATTAATAATTTATAATTATAAACATTTATTTTTATAATTATCCTCTATGTAAAACAATTACATATATTATTTAAATTATACCTTTGTCAGAGAGTAGATTATGGACCCACCGTGTCTATACATGAATTTTTCATACTTTACAGAATTAGAGATTAGAAACCAAGAGAGTCGCATATGCAAAACTACTAGTTACTAAAATACACAGAATTATTCAAAAATTTAAATTTATTTGCTCTGTTAGCAGTATAAAAGCCCCTTACGATTATAATATTTTATATCGATTAAGCATATCTTTTAGTCTCTATTACAAACCCAACTATGCCTTTTATTGAATATTTATAAGATTAAAGAGAAAGTCTTCATGGTTAGGAAATGGCTTTTTTATAAACAATAAGTAGCTTTGAAAGAATAAACATTTACATTCTAACGTTTTCAATTAGAGATATAACTTAGTTTCACGGGGCACTAGTAGCTAAAATTGCCCTAGTTTTTCACCTCTGTGGCCTCACTATTTTTTTCATGATTTCCAAAGAATGGTTTCGATGCCTTCAATGCCATGGTCCTGAAAATTAATGTTCTACCCCATGTAGCAGAGAGGAGTTCTAAAACACTGAGTGTAATGAGGGGTTTACTTGCTTTATCTTGTATTTGGAACTTCGAAGTTCCTAAACTTAGTTTTGGCTCAGTACAGTGGTTCTCAAGCTGGGTACGTCTCAGATTCACCCAAAGGGCCTGTCAACTGCAGACTGCTGATTATGCAGATCTGAGTGGGACGCAAGAATCGGCTTTCCTTTTAGATTCCCAGATGGGGACACCGAGTGCACTTGAGAATCACTAGTACAGCCTGGTGCACTCTTTCAGGCCTGAGCCAAGGAAACAGACATGCAAAAGTCAAGTCATGCCGTGGTCCTTCAGGCCTCCCGACAGCTCGCCTCATGTTCTCACCCACGAGGGGAGGCCACCTTAGCCCTCCTCCAAAGTGTGAGGACTGTTAAGGCTCTTACTTGAATTTGTGAAATTCGTTCAGGCGAGGTAGAAGTCAAAACCACATGGTTCTCCACTGTTGATTGCGAATGTGGTCTTGTTTGAATAACCGGAAGTATAATTAATCTCTCTGCTTCTTTGATGGTTTTTTTGTGTGGAGTTTGAAACATGGATGTTTGTCTGAATCCTAATTACAAATACCTGGAGTTATGCTTCAGATAATGCGCTAATAGCAATGAATAGGAAATATCTAAATTTCAGCTATCCAAATTAAAATAACTATATTGGTATAAGCACTGAAATGGATATGGATAATATAATAAATGTACTAATAAAATTGTTTTTCTGCATGATCCAGAAATAAATGACACTAATGAAACTATAAGTGTATCCTTATAAATCCTCTTGTTTTTCTGTACATACTTTAATCATTATGAAATATTAATTGAAAATTGGTGAATTTTTCTTTTATTTCAGTGAAGATTTAGTAGCCATATGTAAACACTAGTTGTTTTCCCTTAGGAAAAACTTGTGGAAACAATGTTTTAATTGGAACAGTATTATACTTTATACAATAAAAGTTACTATTAAGAAATATTTCCTTGATTGAAGTATATTCTGACACCTACAGTGAAGAAAAGAAGCCTAGAGGAAAGTTTGTTTTCTTCATGAAAATTAGCTATTCTGAAGGTCTAATCTTTGAAATGTCACATGCCACTTGTTTTCCACTGTCAATATTATTTGCAAAGCACTTTCACTTTACGCTGGGCTGGTACTAGACAGATGGAAGTCCCTTTTGTACCCTCCTGTATGCAGAGCAGTAACTTAGACCTGTGGCCACACCTTCCCCACCCCTTCCCAAGTCTTGTTTACTGTACCCTCTATGAAATCTTACCCTTTCTTCAGAGCTTGACTGGTTATTGGGGACGTTGAGTCATTAAATTATTTTTCTTTCAATTTGAGATCTCTAACAATGCAGTATCTAATCCAGTTGGGTGACCCTCTTATAGTGGCATTTCAGACATCACCCAGGCTAGTCAGAATGCTTTTTTTGGAGTATGAGATGGGCTTGACATTGTTGACTACTGTGGGTAAGGAGTAAACCTTTGTGAAGAAGATGAGGATTTTGGTACCCTTTTATTTGTAAGCCTCAGAAATTCCAAAAGGCTACAAAATGTAACTCCAAAGCTTTAGAAGAGTTTACCTTTTTAATACCAAATGTGGAACTATCTCTCTCAAATACATCATTGTTAGAGTACCAAGTGGAGATGAGGTGAGCAATAACAAAAATCTGATAAAAGTAATTATGTATGATCTCCCAGTATTTGTGTGTACTTTCAAGCCACATAAGGATCTTTAATGGCACATTTGGAAAGGTGTAAAAGGCAAAGATGCTTGTTATTGGAAAATAGAAGAGACTAGGGTTGAGTAAATAGAAGTTAAAGTCTGTACCTTTGAGAGGAAATTGTGTTCTCCATAGATTTTTCTCTAGCTGACAGTATAATTAAATAGGAAATTTTAAGGCTGGAAATGTGTATTCTTGTTCCATTTTAAATATGTACTAGTGGAAAATGATGTGCTCTTATCTATAATGTCATGACTTTTTTATTATTTGTACCTTCCCATTTTAACCTCATTGTCTGTATGATTTGTTTTCTCTTGTTTTCCTCATATTCTTAGAAATGTTTGACATTTCATCTATTTTCTTTTTCTTTCAGAATGTGGAGCACTTGAAATAGGGTGAATGAATTAATTATATATTCATATAAAAATTTGAAAATCCCTTTTTTAAGAATTATAATTTGTATATAATGTAGAGAGGAATCCAATAAACACCTACTTTTGCAAGCATTTCTTTCTCTCTCTCCTGAAAAGATATACAGGATGGAAAAATAATGGGCCAGCTGTTAGGGTGGTGGTTGGGGTGGCTGGATCCCATATAGCCAACTGCTTGGTTTGAGTCCCATACCTGGTGCCTTAAAAACCATATTGGACATGTCTGAGTATTCAAAATCCCAAGAGGAGATGAGAGGAGAAGGGATTGCAGTGTGGTCATAACCCCATGGGGGTACTTTCTCATTTTCCCTTTCTGGTGAGCACATGTGCTCTATAGCAAAAAAGAAAGAAGGAAAACACCAAAGACTAAAAAAGCATTGTTAATATCACATGTGCTAAAAACCAGATCTCATTGGATGGAGGAGACATGCACTTACGCAGTTTCTTTCAGAATATCCATTTCCCCTTTGCCTAATAATGTTCCAGATCTCTGTGTCCCGGGGTCGCTGGCTTCCTCCATAACATCAGGGGTGAGCATGTGAGCTGACCCACGTGGCACATTGCATTTGTTGACCACAGGAGTGAGTCGGGGTGGGCACATGGTCTAAGCCAGTCCACACAGACTGAATGTCAGAACTTTCCGTAGCAATGCTAGATATAGCCGCTGGTGGCCACCATGTGACCCTGTGAGGAGAGCTTTCTTGTAATGAGATGAATCAACGTTGAGGGAACAGTTCCAAGACATATAGAGAAGTGAGGCCTTTTTTTTTTTTTTTTTTTTTTTATTTTCAGCCCTCTCCTAGACCATCTA